GTTCATACTGTCAACACTCCTCTGCGAATACCAAATGTTGATTTCTATAGATTTACATTAAAGAAGTTTTCAGCTACAGGTCACAACATGGCATATCTTTTTGAATATTCCATTGGATCAGGAAGAGACTGTTTCTCTGTTATCACCTTTGGGCTGATAAATCCTGTGAAAATAATTGAATCTGGTTGGTTGATAAGGTTTGTGAGTTTGTCTTTTCATTACTGATTTCTGCCTTCTTAATCTGTCAGTAACTGGTGTGTTGAGATGTTCAAATATTTGTGGAACTGGAGTTTCAACTCAGGGCTTCACACTTGCAAAGCAGGCACTGTACCACTTGAGCTTAGCCTCCTTTTTATTCATCTTGAATATTTTTTCCTTCACTTTGTAATGTATATTTGAAGTTTATGTTGATGCACTTTCTGTCACTTGTCTCCTCTGTGTGTGTGTGTGTGTGCGCGTGTGTGTGTTACTATGGATTTAGCCCAAGGCCTTGTAATTACTAGTCAAGCTTCCTAGTGGTGAGCTACATCCATACAACTTTTTATTTTGAAACACAATCTCTCTAAATGGCCCTGGCTGTCATCCGATTGATAATCTCTGTACAACATCCTCCCCTATAGCTGATCACCACTACTGAGTCTTTCATCTACTTTTTGGTGATTCTGACTATTGAACATAGGCCTAACACTTCATAGGCAGGTACATCAAAGTCCTGATAGCCACTTTGAAATATCATTACACAGGTTCTAGGTCAATGCAGGTATCTTGGAATGCTTGAGTTCTCCCTCCAATCCTGTGTTTAGCTGCTCTCATTCATCATTTCCTTTTCAGCAACTGTAAGGACCCAGTATAATGTTGAAATCTTTTACTTCAGGCATTTATATGTGATAACAAATGTCAGTAATTGATTTTGGAGTCAGGAAGCATGGCTTAACTGCTAGATCATGTGACTAGCAAATGTGAATCCCTAACTCCAAACACCAGTATGACCAAGGGAGAGAAAGGATTTCATGTCTCTTCATTTTATTCTTTTTAGTACTCTTTCTTTGTGTGGTGTTTATTTCTAACCACTTTTTCCTTCTCTCCAAACACTCATTGCAATTTTTGCAATGCTGGTGTACATGTGATATAGTCTGTAAATATTATTCAATTTTCATTCTCTTGTTCAGAATGAATAATTTCAATTGCTTTGGGAATATGTGTGAAGCCACAGAGAGCTGCCTAAAGAGAAGATTCTCAAAGTCCAAGTCATGTCTTAAATGTGAGGAGGAGGTGTGTACTGGAGGTATGGTTCAAGTAGTAGAGCATCAGGTTTGCAAATACAAATCCCTGAATTCAAACCTGAATCCCACCAAAAACTGTGAAATAGGTCTTGTTGGTACCATTAAAGAAATACTGAAGAGCATTGATTATATGATGATTTTCTGAAGGATGGCAAAAAATGAAATGCCTGAAATCATAATCCTTTATGCAATGTGAAGAAAAGGGTGTTTATTTGTGTAAACTTTGACTATAGGGCACCAAGGATAAGATTGTCATTTAGAAATATAATATTGTGTGCTGGATATTGGTGGCTCCTGCCTGTCATCTCATCTACTCAGGAGACAAAGTTTGGAATAATCACGGTTTGAGACCAACCTGGGCAAAAAGTTAATGACACCTCATGTCAGTCACTAACTCTGTATGGTGGTATCTGCTTATAATTCCAGCAACATGGGAGGCATCAGCAGAAGGATTATTGTCTGAGGCAGCCATGGGCAAAATGGGAGACCCTACCTGAAAAATAACTAAAATAGCACTGAAGATCATGGAGCCTGACTCAAATGTTAGAGGCCTGGTTGGGGAAGTACAAGTCTCTGTGTTCAACCACGTTACTCCCAAAAATAAATAAATAAATAAATAAATAAATAAATGAAATTCCATATTGGGAATGGGCAGAAAATCTATGTTTGAAAGCAGTGAGGGAAAATATTCACTCATCCCACTTCTTTTTTACATGAAAGAGCTTCATTCTGACACTCATGATACTGCACAGTGTATAGAACATTCATTAGAAAACTATGCAACGTCACCTGAACACAATATACCTAGTAGATCAGAATGGAATGAATGTCAGCATCAGGGGGCCAGAAGAAAGTGGGTTTGAGTTTATTAATCTTGGTACATGAACAATATGGTTTTATATTTATTGTAGAAAATGAAAGTTTCAAGAAATCCATCTTCAGAATGGACATGATTTAGGGAAATAAAGACAATTCAAAGTATTCTGGAAGATCCAAGTGCCACCAAAAACCAGGTTTATTTTATTTTATCTGTAAAATGTGTGACTAACAGCAAAGTAGTTGGTTACTTTAAAATTTTTGTTAGGAGAATTCCAAGATGGCAGCTAGAGGGAGGAAGCAGAAAGCGTGCCTTCTAAAGTAAAATCTTGGAGAGATGCTGGAGAGACACCTTACAGGAAAAACCACCAAGAAGAGGCAAAATGTTGACTCCTCCACACCTCCAGCCTGTGCAGAGCAAGCATCTCCACTTCACGTTAAACGGAGAAACCAGGAGGGCTCCTGGGCCACCACACTGCAGCGCCCAGATGGCTTGGGAAGATGCAGACCACAAGGAAAGCTAAGTGGCATGCAGTACGCCCACAGACAATCCTGGTAAAGTAGTTGTATTTATTGTGACAAAGTTCATTGTTACAACAACATCTAAGCATTACAGATGTCCTGAGGTGACCATGCATGGTCAAAAGTAGAGCTAGTGAATTACCCAACTTGTAAAAAGATCATAATCAACAGAAAACATGCACGTTGGATATGGAATTGTTACCAACTTTGGGCAATGTGTGTAGTACCTGTTCGTGAGGATGGAAGCTGAGGGGCAGAAGGCAGCCTACAGGGAGAGTTATGTGCTGGTGTGCTCAGGTTTAATTTGATTTGAGCCATTGATGTGTATCTGTCTGTACTATAGAGATACGTTAATTCAGAGGGAATATGCTTCCTGCTGCCTTTAATTCCCATTTCTCCCTTCTGGTTGACTATGCTCTGTCTATCAGGAGCTCAACACCCCTTTTGCCTTGGAGGTTTCTTGCGCTCTGATCATTTTTTACTTTGTCCATTTCTGCCCATGATCTTCATGGGAGCTTGAGGCACCTCTTGGTAGTCTGTGGGTCTGTATAAAGTGCTGACCTGGATTAGATTCAAGAATCTAATTCTTCTTTAACAGTATGCTTCACTTTCCCTGGGTGTCAACCCAACACATCTCTCCTGCGTGCATTTCTCCTGCATGTCACCCAACACGTCTTCTGTGTGCATGTCTCCTGTGTGTCACCCAAGTCATCTCATTCACACATCACAGAGCCTCCAGGATCCTGATCACCAAGACATTACTTGGTCACCCCCGTGATGCTTCTTGTGTTGATTTGTGTAGAAAACTTACATGGTCACTGCAGTCCCTGTCTTCAGAGCTCTTTTACCTGTGTTGTAAAGAAATTCTGTAGTCCAAGTTCATTTGCAAATCTGGAAAACTGTCATCCTCAGCTCAACCTCAGGCTGTGGCAATCAGGCAACAGGACCTGTCTCCCCTGGAAAGGGCTGGGACTCCCTTCCCAGATGGAATGTAAAATCCCAGATGATCCCAATTGATAACCCTCCAGTGCCGAAAACAGACACACAAGAGACAGAAAATCTTCACAAGGCAATTTTCTTGATCAAGAGGGTGCAAGCATGTGCTCATTCCTGTTACGCAACACGCAAGCACAAAGTGGCTGACAGTGGCTCCTCCTTATATATCTGATGCAGTTGTACCTGCCCCTCACCTAGGATTTGTCCAGGTCAAAGGTTCACAGTCTTTCCTGATTGGGCAAAAGGCATGGGGGATAGGTTAGGGCGTGCAGTTTTGTGACCAATGGAGTTGTACAGGAATCCAGAAGAAGAAGCAAGGACCCTTTAAACATAAAAGTCACCTAAGATGGTGAACTGAGGAATTTTTAAGTAATCTAAGAGGGTAACAAATACTTTGATAGAAAAGATCATTTTTTCTTACAAATAGAAATCACACTTGTGCCATAGCTGAGTAGCCTGAGAACTCTCTCAGCAGCAGACAGATACAAAAAATATACAAAATATGGCATTTATGTGGTAGGCAATGTCGTGCTCCTCAATGGACAGTTGGTACAGGTGACTAAACACCTCCTTTGCTTGAATAATGCGTACAGGGCACAAACCCCTAGCCCTGAGGGACAGGAAAGGGATCCCATATATGACTGAGTGATTTCAAATGACAGAATCCTTCAGAAACCCTCACCAGATACCTCTGATCTGGAGAACTGTCTCAGTGTGCGAGTGGGGTGGAATTGAATTCAGCAGAACTTGTTCTTGTCCTCCATACCAGGCACTTGCTTTTAAACTTACTCATTGGAATCTTCTTGCATATTTCTGCTGAAATTGAGACAATGGTGTGCTCAGAGAATTTCACAGTCAATGTACCATGTTGAAAAGTCATGTCAGTTAGATCACAGGGCATCAATGTAGGGTTTATGCTCAAGCTCTCAATATTGGAATGAAGCAGATTGCCAGGATAATCTCACAGCTCATGTTTCAATCTACCAAGTTTCAGCCAAGGAATTAAAACATGCAAAAATGGATCTTTATGGTAATTATATTTCATAAAAGATTTTAAGAGGAATTAAAAGGAGGTATGACTGAAGCAATAGGGTACCTTCTTTGCAAGCATGAAGTACAGAATTCAACCATTTTTCTACCAAAAAATAAGATAGAAAGAAAAAGATGAATTAAAAGTAACCTGTGTACAACCTCAGACAAGGATCCTGTGTTACCCAAAGTCACAAATTACCTCATATTTCTTCTGGGATTCCTGAAGTCCTCTTCAATGTTTTCATTTTCTTCTTCTGTTTGTAAGATACAGACACAGAGAAAACATTAATATTAAATTGATATAAAAGAACAGGTAAGGGCATTGAGTGAAGGCATTAAAATTGCTCATTTTCATAGGGTTTCTCTGCAGTGAGTTCTTTCAGTAATACAAGGGGTGCTTCATTCTGTGTAGCCTTTCCCACAGTGCTTACACCAATAGGGTTTCTCTCCAGTGTGAGTTCTTCTATGTCTCTGACGGTGACTGGAATGAGTAAAGGCATTGATTGAGGGCTTTCCCACATTTCTTACGTCCATAGGGTTTCTCTCTAGTGTGAGCTCTTTCATGAATTCGAAGGTAACTGGCTGTAGTGTAGGCTTTCCCACATTGCTTACATCCATAGGGTTTCTGTCCAGTGTGAGTTCTTTCATGAATTCGAAGGTAACTGGCTGCAGTGTAGGCTTTGCCACACTGCTTACACACATTGGGTTTTTCTCCAGTGTGAGTGGTTCTATGTCTCTGAAGGTGACTGACAAGAATAAAGGATTTCCCACATTGCTTACATCCATAGAGTTTCTCTCCAGTGTGAATTCTTTCATGCCTTTGAAGATAACTGGCTTGAGTAAAGGCTTTCCCACAATACTTACATCCATATGGTTTTTCTCCACTGTGAGTTCTTTCATGAACACGAAGGTTACACACACGATTGAAGAATTTCCCACATTTGTTACAACCAAAAGGTTTCTTTACAGTGTGAGTTGTTTCATGATAGCGAAGGGTACTAGAAAAAGTGAAGGCTTTCCCACACTGCTTACATCCATAGGGTTTCTCTCCAGTATGAGTTCTTTCATGATTACGAAGGGTAGTTGAATCACTATAGGCTTTCCCACATTGCTTACATCCATAGGGTTTTTCTCCAGTGTGAATTCTTTCGTGTCTTTGAAGGTGATTGGCTCGATTAAAAGCTTTCCCACATTTCTTGCATCTATAGGGTTTCTCTCCAGTGTGAGTTCTTTCATGAGCACGAAGGGTCCAGGATGAATTGTAGGCTTTCCCACACTGCTTACATCCATAGGGTTTCTCTCCACTGTGAGTCCTTTTATGAGCACGAAGTGTACTTGGATCACGGTAGGCTTTTCCACATTGTTTACATCCATAGGGTTTATCACTAATGTGAGATGTTTCATGAATGTGAAAGGTGCCAGATGGAGTGAAGACTTTTCCACCTTGTTTCCATCCATGACATTTCAGCACATTGTGTACCCTTTCATGGATTAGAAGAGCCTTGTCACCAGTGAAGGTTTTCTCATAAGCATCACATATATTGCTTTTACAGGGAGCTGTTCTAAGAAGAGTTTCCTTGCTTACAATGTTCTCTGCAGTCTGTTGAGAGGATTCTCCACATTGAATAGGTAGATTATGTTCCTGCAGTCTCTCTAACATTTCAGTTCTGGAAAACAAAGATTACCATTGCTATCTTATTAAGTAATTATTTATTAGAAGCTATGGTGTTTGTCACTATAAACATTTATGAACACAAATGTAGTACATGATCTGCAGCAGGCCTGAGGACAGCTATTACCTAAACAGTGGTGTTCATTATGTGTTCCCATCACACTATTTCCATGTTAGGTGTTTGACAACACTGAATGAATTTTACTACGTTGAAATACACTTAAAGTGCTTTTTGAGATGCCTTGGATCAACAGCATGTTGGATTGCAAAATAAAAGAATGAACACGAGGACAAAGGTTCAAAAATGTGCCAGTCTATTCCAGTACACATAATAATCCCATTGTGATGGAATTTGATATAATATAGTTAAATTAGTTTGTGCACAGAGTGGGATTATTTTTGTATATTGATCAATAGGAAAATGTCTTTTGTGACTTCTTAGGACAAAACATTATGGAAAAAGGGCACATATCAAACTTTGAATTTTCTCATTGTGGATACTTAATTTATTTTTCCAATCCTAGATAAACTTTTCACTGACTTCAGCAATTTATAAGTAAAAGTTTTGGTCTCATTTTCTTGGTTTTCAAACTTCTTCTCAATGGCAAATCTAATACTCACTGTTTTGGTTATGAGTATGAATTACCTCATATTTCTTCTGGGATTCCTGAAGTCCTCTTCAATGTTTTCATTGTCTTCTTTTGTTTGTAAGACATAGACACAGAGAAAACATCAGTATTTAATCGATATGAAGGAACAATCTGAGACCTGAGCTATTTTCATGATATAATATGATCGTACATGTACATGAACCATTATTGTCCTTTTTAAAACAGCCCATAAGGCAACAACACCATATTTACCTATGTAGGACAGGTTGCTGTAGGTTTCCAGCATCACTTCCATGTAGAGCTTCTTTTGGGAAGGATCCAAACAGCCCCATTCTTCCAGTGTGAAGCTCACAGCAACATCCTCAAAGGTCAGGGGCTCCTAATATGCCCGACACACATTTGTGAGAAGAATTGTGAGTGTTACAGCAGTGGAAACAGACAATCTCTGTCTTATAAATTCACATGCTGATGTGGTCTCCACATATCCAATGTATTTTATTTTTATCACACTCTCATTCTACATGTATGCTCAAAAGCACTTCATAGTAATTCTGACATATCACTAGACCTATTTGTTAAATTCAAAGCAGAATATGTTCACAAAAATTACATGTTATACACTAGGTTTTTAGCAATCTACTAACAAATTCCTTCTTCTTAGTTCCCATTTGAGTAATATCAGGTGCAAATAGACTACAGCAATAATGTTTTTACTACATGAGTAAATGTTTCATGTCTACTGGCATTGCAGAACTGCTAATGGGATGAACTTCACCAAACCAAATATATAGTGTAAAGAGGGGAGAGTGTCCTGAAGCAATTTACTCCAATAATACCCTATTGTATATATACAATTTATGATTATTTTCACATTTCTGCAAGGCTGACTAGAGGTAGTCTGCTGTAAGACAAACCGCAATGCACTCATGGTCATGAATAGAAAGTGGGTACGACAAATAGTATTCAATATCACTTTCCAAAACAATTTTTTTAACTGATCACCTCCTTTGTGAGCATATCAAGAGAACATTTGGAAGCTTCTACCTAGTTCAGAACAGACCAACCAAAATTTAAAGGTAAATAAGACTCATGAAGGATCATTCATGTAAAGTTACAGTTTGTGCTTAGCAAGCAAAAACATAATGTAGAAAGGTGAAATTTGGCATGTGTCCCTAGAAATTGATGGATTTCAACTACCTGTATACAATTTTGCAATTTCTAAAATATACCTTAAAACTCATGAACAAAACTACTTTTCAAAGTGTAATCAGTGTCATAAATTGCAAACAGTAATTAAAAATAAATGGAATAAGAAGGTGATCCCTTGATCCACTTGTGGAGGCCTAATTCCAACAGAAGGACCACAACATTGGAGATATTGGGAAATACAGAAGATAAAATCTGAACACTTTTGTAGTCATGGTGTCACATGCCTGGCATCCCAGCATTTGCAAAACTAAGGTAGGACTAACATATGTTCGGTGTGATCCTGGCATGCATCTCCAGTTCAAGAGCTATGTATGAAGACTCGGTGTGAAAGTAACACAAAAAGAAGAGCACTTGCAAGCTCACTACTCAAGGAACATACACAATGAATGTGGAGTGTTAATATATTAGAGTGGCAAAAGACAAATAATGAGGATAAATATTGGCAAAGCAAGCAAAAGTATTAGTATACTGCATACACTAATGAATGAGAGTGTGATTGAGAAATGCACATGTCTTGTCAACATAAGACACCATGTATGAATCAAGACCTATTTATGAAGTAGCTGAATAAAATAAGTGTTCAAAATCCAAGTACATAAGAACAGTGTAATGATTGAATGGAGTGCAATTGATGCAATCTCCACTAACATTTCTTTAATTCTAATAATGAAATAGAGTCCTGAAATTGCACTTTCTGCAGACTTCCACAAAAGCCCCAAAAACCACGACCACTGTAACAAAAGTGAAAATAGTGTAGTTCAATATCACACATAATTGAGTTTGTGAAATAAACTCAAAGACAGCACGAAGACCACTTCTATATGGAATAGGTCTAATAGTTTTTCTGATTCCAAAGGGTCAAAAATAGAAGCACACAGTTTAAGGGATTAGATGAAAAAAGAAGGGCAAGGATTAAGGTGGTAGCCATCTACTGTAGTAAGGTGTGCAGACCCTTTTTATTCACATCTACCAGGGCACTAGATACCTACTGTGAATGCATGTGTAGATCTTTGCATGCATTTCAGAATTACCTTGAGATAATTTCACTGCATAATTTCCTATGTCTTTTCTCTGTTTTACATCACTTTAATGTCAAAAATTTATGCATTTGGTCATTTAATCCAGTTCCAAAGGTCTGAAAAATTGTGCTCAGCTGTATGCCAGAAACCCACATAACTAAATTGTAGAAATTTTACTAAATACCCACATCTCTCAAATGCACAAAAGCATTCCAGTCACATAAAGAACCCAAACTTGTCATTCTGTTAGATTCTGCCTCTCAGATTTTCTCAGCTTGTACAAAATAGTGCAAAGAAAATACTTATGAAGCAAACTATTTAAAGTTTTCTGTTCTTCCTGCAGTCATGCTCACTGTTATCCACCCTGAATCAGCAGAAAAGCCCTCCTTATTGTCACCCTCAGAACAGAATTATCACCAGGAATAATTTCCTGGTACTGCAAGTTGATTTAGCAACCTGTTGTCATCTGTAACCTACCAAGTTCTTCCCCTTTCTTGGAAACCAAGTATTTTTTCTGCCTAGCAATTGGGACATAAGCATACCTTAATTTTGGAACTACCCACATACTGCAATAATTCCATAAAACCTTCATGGGTGAAGAACACACTCAGTATGAAAAGGAGCCTTGTAAGGCATAAGTTTCTATTACTCATCACAGAAACCTGAGAATATAACTCTGGGAGAAAATTATGTCCTTTTACTCCCATCTCCTAGTGAGAAAACTCTAGGCTGCTAAACTTATGGTCTCTAACTTTCCCAAGGTCCACCACAGCTTCAACAATTGTCACAAATTACATTGTGACTAGACAAATTCTATGAATGAAAATGCAAACAACTGAAAACTTACCCAAGCAAATTAATCTTGGTAACACTAGCGGTTAAGACCGCCACCCACCATCCTCCAGGTTCCCATTATACTTAGATGCCCAACAAGGGAAGGACACACTTTTGATTCTTCCATGTTCCACCTCATATTCATCATCTTACTTGATCAGCTGAAAAAGAACCCTAACTATACAAAGTATCCTAATGAAACTCCCTGCCCTTTCCAGCCAGTCTCTGCCTCACCCTCAGCCTGAGCCACTATATCAACCTGTCCTTCACTGTCACATGAAACACAGTCTCAAGGCTAAGGATCAATGGTCAAGGAGCTAATTGGGGTCCCTCGTTTACATATAACCTCTCAGGGTCTTTTTACTACTTTTTTCTTCTCTTTACTACTCTTGAAATAACAACCCTTCTTTGCCTTGCCTTGAGGCATGTGCAGACTCTGTTGTTGGGGTTATCCAGCACTGAAATCCTAAGTTCATGGTTTGCCTCAATCTTCATTTCATTTTTGGAAAATGCTGTCTAGAAACAGGCCACAGAGGACATCAATTATGTTCATAAATCTTTGATAAGTTTCCAGTCTCAATCCTCCCATTTGAAACCCAACAGCAAGTGCACCACCACTGCAGTGAGTTGTGCAGTGTGAGCTCTCTGTAAATTTAGGGATTTACTAAAACCCTAAGTAGCACATGTCTGGGATCTGGTTGTGCATTCTCGACCCTACTTCCACATTTTTACATAATTCAGGACCATCAATTTTACCCTGAGCAGATTGGAAGAAGCGGGGACACCAAGAATCACAGCCTCTGCTGCTAGGAAACTACTACCTCCCACCATCATCTCATCTGGGGAGAGAATCAAGGGCTCCAGGATGGGTCAGGTTACTCACAGGTAGAGACCAGCATGACAGGGTCCTGTGCCATCTTTGCAGATCCACATGCAATGGAGAGGATGGAGGGCCACAAGGCACTTTAGATAACAAAGGCCCCAGACTCCAGGGCTGTGCTGGGGAGGCCAAGGTCCCTCACCACTGCTTCAAGCAGTTCCAATGTCCTTGTCCTACTAAGAATGGTAACAAGCACTACATCGGCCTGCTATGGTGACTGGGGTTCTGCACACCACCCTAACTGAGCACACACATAACAGGGGAGTGAGATTGAGTTCCACAGAGTCCATATCAGAAGAAATCTCAGTGATTCAGAAAGTGATGGGAACCAGAAAGTCATTTTTGAAAGATCAGACGGTGGTGCCTCCTCCCACCGGATTCTGGTTGGACAATCTGGACAGTTCTTTCCCTCCAGCATTTTTCATTGGCTATTGAAACAAGGCCCTGTCCCATTAGATCTGTGAGACAGGAGAACTGATACCCTATGTGGTAAAGTGTCAGGACCGATAAGTGATTCTAGGCACAGCCCTTAGAAGACCAGGCCTCTTCCCTGGACCTTATGTTCCACAGTGGGGGAGGAATGCATTGTATTTAAGCAGAACCTGCACCTGGCTTTTCCAAAAGAACTCTATTTTTTTCTTTCTCATAGAAATGGAGCCAGGAGTCTGCTATGAATATTCCACACTCAGCATCTAAGGATATAGCTTCTGATTTCACATAAGGATCAATTTGCAGGACAGGGCAAATGAGACTTCAATAGAATAGGACAAAAGGCCTGGTGTTGTCACACTATGTTGATATCAGTCACTTGTCTTTATGGACAAGGAATTCTCACACCTGGTCCTTTAATCTACCCATTATCACCCAAAAAAGTAAGAACAAGCTGGGTGCGGGGCTCACACCTGTAATCCTAACTACTCAGGATGCAGAGATCAGAAGGATTGTGGTTTGAAGCCAGACCAGGCAAAAACTTTACCTTAATTGTTCAGAAGAAACAGAACAGCTAATAAGCAAACTCCTAAACATTGTCTCATTTTTACACTCCTGAATTCTATGATGCATCCTCAACCTGAGGCAACACAACCCCTTTTTATGGTCACCTGAAGACAATCTCAGCTCAGGGGTAAGGGTACCTGGTTCAGGAGCTGATGGTTCCCCCTTTGGTGTCCTTCCTCTCCCATAGTCATCCACTATAGTATGCTCCTCCCTAGAAAACACAGCCCTGCTGTACCTCACCCTTGAGATCCTGCAGACTTCCAAGTTGGCACTGCCCTGCTACTGTGACTTCAATATGGTCAGTCCATTCTCCATCTGAAATTAAAGTTTGAACATACTATCTAGACAACTCCAATTATGTCAGAGATTGCAAAAACCTCAAACCTTCAACACCTTCCCAACATGTCCCCTTTGTCATGAACCCCACATACACATGCAGAG